TTTACTCGAAAAAACTTGATCTCCATGTCACGGAGATCGCTTCTCCGTGACACGGAGAGAGCTGCTCTCCGTGACACTTCGAGAGTGTCACGGAGCAACTCTCTAGCAGAATTTTTTTTTTATTTTTTATTTTTTATTTTTTGTAATATGAAAGTGTCATGGAGCCGCTTGCTCCGTGACACTCTCTAGCAGAAATTTATTTTATTTTATTATTATTTTTAAGTAAAATGAGAGTGTCACGGAGCAGCTTGCTCCGTGACACTCTCTAGCGAATTTTTTTTTTTTTTAGTAATATGAGAGTGTCTTGCTCCGTGACACTCTCTAGCGAATTTTTTTTTTTTAAAGTAATATGATCCGTGACACTCTCTAGCGAAAATTTATTTATTTATTATTTTTTTTTTGTTTTAGTAATATGAGAGTGTCACGGAGCAGCTTGCTCCGTGACACTCTCTAGCGATTTTTTTTTTGGTAATATGTTTTATAAACAAAAATATCACATTTTGTTTAAAATATTAATTTTTGATTTTAATTTTGTTTAGTATAAAGACGTGAAAAAAATTATATTTGTTTGGAAATATTAATTCTTAAATAATTAATTGTACAATTAACAGTAATTTGTTTTACTATAATAGATGTGTACAATCAAATGAAAATATAAATTCTTGAAAAAATTATTACAGTTCCTTAAAAATATTAATTCTTGTATAATTGATGCAGATGTCTTTAGAATACGTTCTCTCTCCGGAACAATGATTTTCTGCTACCATCCTTCAATATCCAAATCGTCAATACGTTCAAGATTTTATAAATTTCATAGATGCAAATCAACAATGTAATTTGATGTGTAGTAATTTTTATGGATTTATATATGGAGCTGTTTTCAAAGGAGACGAAGAACAATTTACTAGCAAGTTGGTACATGAATTTATAATGAGACTTGTGCATTGTGGCAAAAATAATGAAGTTTGGGTACGGTTAGATGACCATCTTGTTAGGTTTGGCTTGCAAGAATTTTGCCTCATTACTGGACTACCTTGCCATGAACCATTCGTAGAAATTGATTATAATAACTATCGTCTTAGAAATCAATACTTCAATGGCACAAAAAAAATTAGCAATAGGATGCTTTTTGAAACTTTCCACATGTGTGAAGATACAGAAGATAAATTTAAGTTGGGATTAGTTATGTTGGTTGAGTGTGTGTTGAAACCGACTTCACGACAAGTTGATTATAGAACTATGGGCATGGTTGAACATCTGGATGAGTTCCTTACATATCCATGGGGCCGAATAGCATATTTCGTTTTGTTAAATTCTTTGAAAGAGTCACAATTGGAAAGAATAATAAGGATGCAACAGAATGGACAGACAGAATGTAAGTATGCATTACAAGGTTATCCACTCGCATTTCAGGTATTATGTTCCTATTCTAATTACTTACGTATTATGTATAATTTCTTTGTACAAAGAATAAAATTTATACATCACATTTCTCTTTTTTTACGTTGCAGTATTGGATATATGAAGCGTTTCCACAAATTGGACAAAAGTTTGGTCGTCGTAAACACAGAACGGTGCAGATTCCACGAATCTATAATTGGAGGCCTAATACTATACTGAAGGAATCTGTTGTTAAGCAATTTTTGGATACTCAAGACGTATGAATTTTTTATTTTCAACATACAATGACATTCGCATTTTATTATTAATAAGTTCAATTAAACAAATGGATTCTGATAGTTTGTTATGATTACAGATCGAAGTCATTGCAGTGTTGCAGCCTACAGAGGAAGAATTACAAACACCTTGGAACACAAATCTTTCTCTGCCGGCTGACGATGAACATAATATATTAGATGCCACTGTCACTGGAGAAGTAGATAATGTAGTACCACAAATACCGGATAACATTCGTGTGCAAGAAACGACCAGTCGTAGCACATCGAGAACTTCAACTGGAGTTGGGCCTAGTTCTACTTCCAGTGCCTCCAGATATGTAACTGAAGATCGAATGGAAGAAATGTTGGGTATGTACAGGCAACATACGGTATCAGATGTGTCCAGTCTGTGTGGCAACTTGAAGGCAGAATTTGTTGAAGAATCCAGAGCCCTGAACCAGGATATCCTTGAAAGCCAAAAGCAACTGTTCGAACAACATAACAAATCGATGCAAGATTACATGCTATGTGGTATGCAGTCATACATGGATAATTCTCTATCAAATATGTTTAGCACTCATATGGCCCAGGAATCGCAACAACAAGAAACCCATTATCAGGCGATTCTTCGAAAACAAGAAGAATTATTCCAGCAGCAATAGGAGCACATACAGTCTTATATTGATACAAGTTTATGTTCTGTCAGATCTTATATTGACGAAAAGAATGAGAATATGCTAAACAGATTATCTAACTGGGAATCCAACATGGAAGCCATTATAGGTTCCATGCAGCAGGATGTTCCTCTCCATGCAAGTCCAACTCCTACTGTTCAACCGCATGAGACATCAACATCTCAACCAGCAGAAAGTGTTGACATGCAGAGAAGAGAAAGGGAAAAGAAGATGAAATACACACAGGCTTCATCGTCCACATGCCGTCCCTTAGAAGACTACGACATGAACAAGTACAAAGACATTAGGAATTGGATATCGAGAAATCAATCTGGGTAACAAATGTAACTCATTCTAAATAGTCCGAATGCTACACATTATTATATCTATGTGAAAAATTATTTGTTGAATTATTTGACAGTAATTTAAATTATGTTATACAGTGCATATTTGGACGATGGCCGTGGCAATGTCTATGGAAGAGACATGCTAAAAAGTTTAATGGATCCGACGAAAGATCTAAATATTGCGGTGAGTGAAGGTTTGCAATCACAATAAATTTAATTTCGTAGTTAATATGTATAATATATGTTACATATATTTATTGCATTAGCATATTGAGTTGGAGCTGAAGTTATTGAGGCGGCGTATGAATGAAGATTGTACTCTCGTCAATAAAAAATATGCAATTTTGGATTTTCAATTTGAAGAGGAGTGTTGTCAGCAAATGAGGTGGCACATGGAATATAACCAGACAGGTGAATCAGATGGAACTCACCTACAAGGCTATGTCAACGGTACATTGCCTGTAGCTGGTCGTTCGTGGATGGGATGCAAGTATTTATTAATTCCAAGTGCATATCCAGGCAATGAATGTTATCTGTTTCTGGTCAATATTCGTGAATGGAAATTCTACATATACGACTGCAGCAATAATGTTCACATGCCTAATGCAATCAAGGCTCACGCAGAAGCAACATGCACAATCGTTTAAACATTATTGCAGTGTGAACCCCTGTCCACCAAACGAGATATAAAGAAACATATAAATGATCCAATGAAGATGGAGATTATACCTTATCTACCGTGTGCGAACAATGGGTGAGCATTTCAACTCTTGTTATTTACTACTGTAGTTAATCTATTGTATATACTAATTTCGACTAACGAAAAATCATTTATTGTACAGGCCAAATTGTATAATGTTTGTACTCAAGTATATAGAATGCTTCATTTTCGGGCATCCAATAGAATCAGTTTCAGCAGAGAGAATGTCAATATACAGAAGAAAGATTGCGGTCGATTTTTTGAATAACGAATACTTTCTTTATCCCCGATAGTGAAACAGTTGTCGTGACTTAGCTGTACTTTGCTTGTGTAACTGTTGATGATCAGCCAGTTCATGATACCGCCTTTTGCAATATGTATTTTGCTTTATGTGGTGGTACATAACATGAATTTTGGTTTTATGTGGTGGCACGTAAAATGTATTTTGGTTTACACAGTGGTTTGCATATTTCGATTTATATGGTGGTATGTAATATGTTCTCGAAGTCTCATTCTAGACAAATGAAATATCAAGTGTCGAGATTCACAGCTATGTAATGTCGAGAACGACATATCAAACGTCCAAAAATCGAAGAAATGTAGAGAAATATCGTATTTTGGTCCAAGTGTCGTTCTAGACATTCGTAATGTCAAGTGTCGAGATTAACAGCTATTTAATGTCGATTACGACATTACAAATGTCGAGAAGGTAGCAAATGTCAATATAAATATGATCCAACCAAATTTAACTAAGAGTGAAGGCAACCAAATGGTGTATTAACTGCGAAAACTGTAGCAAGCACCTTTATAATTACTATAGCAGTTGAAGTTGGTATGCCAAGCACAAGTACGTTCTCAACCATATTGATGTGAAAAAAAGTTGTAAAATAATCACCATCAATGACTTCAACCATATTGGTTGGTGAGATATCTTATCGTGCATTCAACGGACAAGTGTTTCTCCAGTATAAAATGTTGAACTTTACTTAAATATGTACATACGAGAATTTAACAAAGTCATAGCACTAGTTAGTTTTTCCATTGATTATGTCTTCATCAACTCAACATACTCCTGTTCTTGATGTTACTATCACTTTCGACCCCCCTGGGTCGTCCGCGGACAACCCGATCATCATTGACTCGGACTCGGATGATGAAAGCAATATTTTTGTTCCATATGTTCGTCAACCTTCGAACCGCCATCGTAAGGTTTGCCTTCAACCAATCCCTTTTCCGAATCTAATCGACGAAATTGAACCAATTCAAGTTCATCGTGAGATCGTCCCAGTACCGATCCAACCGGAAGCACATCATGTGTTGTTGGATGAAAATGTTGGAGCAGTTCCCGTCGAAAATGAAGATGTGATCATCATAAGCTCCGACGAGGAGTACGACAGTGATATGTCCTCTTTGTCCGTCGTAGAGGATATGTAGAAGATGCAGTCATCGTAAGTGAAATGTTTACGTACATATAGTAGTGCTATAAAATCCATATAGGTGATGGATAATTTTTTGGGTGATCACCATTTTGTATAATAGTTGTCTACGATATGTATTGGAGTTATGGCTTCCTTTTGTTGTGATTACCATTTTGTCTGGTCCAATGACTTAGGAGAACGAGTTATTCATAGGTTGCTTTTGTATCCATTACCACATTGTGTCTACAATGATTAAGAAAATTTCAGTGATGAAATAGATATGTACTTATTCACTTATATGATGAACAAAATGATATCGTAGTGAAATGTTCATAAGAATATATGTAAGCACCATTTTCCTTGTTGGTAGTTATACCCCAAACCTGGTCTCTCTTGTTTGTATCCAGTATGACATTTAAAAATGAAGTGTTGTTTGTATTTAGTGAATGCCCATACGAATTTTCCTATTTGTGCGCTATAAAATTTTGAACGACTAGAATAATATAAGAGAAAAATCACAAAAAATGGGAGGAATCCGTATAAGGGATTCAAAATATATTACAAACTTAATTTTACAACAAGTAATTGCAAATAAGTGATATCAAGAGAGAACGAAGAAAGAAACAGAAAGAAGTAGAAGTTAAAAATATATTCAACAACATTTAAAATAAGAGGTAGAAAGCAAGTAATACAAAAGAAAAAAATTCAAAACATTGATAATTCATGTTATCAGGGCATTTGACGATCAAAATACACAATGTCATTCAAGTATACGTGTCATTTAAAGATGTCGAATTTTGACATGTTTGCCTGTTATGTCCAGAACCCCCACATCGGCCGCAGTTTCGTCTCAACGTGGACCTTTCAGTTCTTGACCGTTGACGTTGGGTAGGAGGTCGACCTGGTGCTCTACGTATATTCGAGGGCAAAACTTCGACGGAATGAATAGACTGAGGAACAACCCAATCTGACTCTCGGCCAACGGGGTGAAGAACTTCATTGTACACAGCTCGCCAATATTTTGTGGTGTAGTAAGAGGAGCACAAATCATACAATGATTTTTCTTTTGTGCAAGCAGCTCGGGATGCATGTGAACATGGGATTTGTCGCATCTGAAACTCTCGACATGAACATGTGTTACCTATAAGGTCGACAGTACAAAGTTCGGTAGCTATACCTACCTCAAAAACGAGTTCGTCCAAATTTTGTACTGGTAAAGTTGCACCGGGGTCGAATGATTTTCTCAATTCATCATCAATTTTTGGTGTCACAGTCGTACTACATTTCGTGGATGCACTTTTTCTCTCGTAGAACCATCGTTGCATCAATGACGTAATATTTTCAATTAACGAGGTTATAGGGAAACTTCTTTGTCACCTTAGGACTGAATTCAGTGACTCCGCAATGTTATTTGTCATAACGTTGTACCGATTACCAACAAAATGTGCCTGTGACTAGGTGGATATACCGGCACGTTCCAAGTAAGATGCCATTGACGGTCGAATGGTTCTTATCTGTGTCATAAACTGATCAAATTCCGATACGTGGTATGCTAGCGCTGCCCGCTTGAATAAGAAGATGACATTGCTACTGCTATACCTTGCAATAAGATTTTTCTCGATATGCCAGATGCAGGCACCGTGGTGAGAAAGTGGGAACAACCTCGTAATTGCCCGCTTAATACTCTTCTTCCTGTCCGACACAAACACTAGCTGGTTTGAATCATCAATGACATCTTTTAACTTTGCAAAGAACCAATACCACGATACATTTGTTTCCCCATCAACAACACTCCACGCAAGAGGATATATTTGTAGGTTAGCATCTTGCGCTGCAGCTACTAGTAGTGTTCCCTTATATTGGCCCTTCAAATGACTTCCATCAACACAAATTACTGGCCTCATGTGTTCTCGAAAACCACGTACACTAGGCCCGAACGCTAAGAAGAAGTACAAGAACCTATTATTCGAGTCGAGTTCAATGTGTGCAATAGTTCCTGGATTTTACTCGGTTAACACATGACAATATGATGGCAATTTCTGGAAACTTTCTTCGGGTGTACCACAAAGAAATTGAAGTCCCTTCTCTTTAGCCCTCCACGCTTTGTTGTAGGTAATCTGTACACCAAACTCACGTTCCATATCCCCAATAATACCCGCAGGAACGTATGATTGGTTTGCATCGTCCAACCTTCGCATTATGTGATGCCCAATTATTGCACTCGTTGCGTGAATTTGTGCATTTCGTCGAACGTCTAGAGAACATGTGTGCTCAGGTATGTACTCTCGAATTGTAAAGATTTCTGAAGTTTTTATCTTAGAAGCTCGTACTAGCCAATGGCATGTAGTATCGACACAACACACAGTAAGAGATCTAGGATTCGACTTTTTAACCTTGAAATGAAACTTCTCTTTCAAAACCTTAAGTTGAAGCCTTGTGTGTAACTGTCATTTGCTAAAGAATATCTTATTCTCCACAATGTCCTCTTCATCAATCGACTCAATTGCATTTCGAATAAACAAATTGCCTTCACCTAAACTTTCATCCATATTATCAATCGTTTGTGGCTCTTGTAGTTCGCACATACCGACTTCATTGCGTTCACACAATGCATCTTCTATTGGTGACAAATGCGCAACTCCGACATGCAGTTCGTGCTCTCCAGCATTATATTCATCTGCAATTACCCACAACGCCGCTTCTGTGTGAACAGACATAAACCATTGCAAATCCTCATCGTCGGCTACATCAGCTGGGGATATATTCATGTTTGGAATTGTAAATTTCAATTGAATTCGAAACTTCATTCTATCAACATTCAGCTTCTCGAATAATTTATGTACAAGCTCTTCATATGTAATATCATGTCGAACAACAATTGATGTTGTTCGGTTCCCTAACCACTTCCACCCGTTGTCTATGTTGACGAATCTACCACCATACGAGACAACAAATCTCTTAACATCTCCCATATCTGCATGTCATAAACAACAATACTGTCAACCACTAATGAAAATCGAAAACGAAAATGCTACCTGCATGCAATATGTGAATCACTCTACACGAAAATTTACCAACTTACTCAAATTTTTAATGTTATTGTCAACATTTAATAGTGTCGAGAATGATAGTATAAATATCATTCTCGACGTTATAATCATTATTGACATTTATAAAATGTCGAGAATGAAATGACGGGATTTCATGCATTTATCATCTTCTTCAACTTCAACTACCATTTTTGCAAGAATTTATTCCACCATAAATAATATTCTAAATATATAAGTATATTATCTAACTAAGTTATTTAAGATGAATGGTACGAAAAATATATACTCAGGATAATTTCGTCCAAGGGAAAAAATACTTTATCAAAAAATTGAGATTTGAACATATACAACAACAACTACTAAATAAAACTTATCAAAAAAATGAGAGTTTGAAGAAATAGAGTTCAAAGAAATATACCTTCTACCGACAAATGATGAAAGCCTAATCAGCTTCAAATTTCTACCACAGTAAATTTCTTAAAATAATTTCTTTGAAGTTGGAATCATATACTTCTTCGTATATGGTAATGGAATTTTTGCTTCTTCTTCATTTGTTCTAGAATAATTGATTAAAATATAATTAAAAATATAAGCAAGTGGACTCACCTAGGTAATAGCATCATTATTGTGCCTTCTCGTAGAAGTTATTTGCTCTTCTTAAAAATTGTGCCAAAGTGATATAAAATTGATTAATCTTTTCATGAGGGTAAAATAGACATTTTGATTTAAAAATTGGACATTTTTGCAAAGATTATAAAAAAAGTACACTTTTCAACTCCAACCCTTATAATTGGACATTCTTGAAAATGCCTCTTTATTCAATTAATCTCAAGCATATAACATTTTTGCCTACAAGTGGAAATCGTTTGGTTTTAAAAAGAATCGAACCGAACCGAGTAACAATACGTATTTCAAAAATGAAACCATTGGATGGAATGCTAGAACCAAACTATTTGGTTTCTTATGTTAAGGTCTCATCACTAACCAATGCAAATAAACTGTCTAAATATAGAAGTTCTTAAGCTATAATTTTAAATTCTCCATATTTATTTATTAAATATGAAAATCTATTTCTATTATTTTAATAATTTGAGAGGGTAAAAAATGTTAACTTGAAAAGAATAATAGGAATTCAACCCTTTTATTAATTTAAAATTATATCTATAAAATTTGATGGATCCTTTTATCTAGGTTTTATATAATAAAAGTTCATTTGAGTCTATTTATTGTGAAAATATTTTATATTAGTATTTTTTAGAGAATGTGCCGTTAAAAATAGTAGAAATTTTTAATTTTAAATAATGCGGTTTAAACAGGAGCTAAACTAAATATGAGTTTGACGTACTATGGTGAATTTATTAAAAATAAAATTAAAAATAAAAAGTAAAAATTTCGGCTTAAATCAACTTTTTTGGTTCTTGGTATTACAATTGTGAATCAGATCAGAACCGATCAATTCTTGATTTAATACTTTGAACCAATTACAACTTGAGTAGAATCAAACTGAATCAATCGATCCCGATTCAATCCAATTTTAGCTCGGTCCAATGGTTTTAGTAATTTTTGTCCACCTCTAAATACTAGGTCACTTTCAATGGGACGACACTTAATTAAATATGTACGCCCACGTGACAAATTAATTTCTGAACAATCTTCCACATGGGCCACATATGTTACTTGACCATTGCTATCTCCGAACAATCTCGTTCATTGATTTTGTCACGTATATCAACATAATCAAAGGACATAGATCAAATATGGATAATGTAGCACGAAAATTACATGCAATGAATCCAAACATAATTTCCAGAGTGAAAATAACATACTAACTTTCATTGAATTAGTATAGCATCAAAAAGATACAACACCAACGTGAGCAGTGTGCTCATGAAAAGATAGTTGCCATTTAGTAAACGAATTTGTATTAAAAAAAAGTTGTGTGCCTCTATGGAAACACGACCACTCTGAACTCTTTTCCTAAAAACTAGGAACTTAATTTTGACATTGACAAGCTCTTGTTGTTGTTTGAATATAACACTGCTGACTTAATTTGTGACTTTCACAAGATAACTTAATTCAATATCATCATGCGCAGCCCAATGATAAAATTCCTTAGCCATATTCTATGATTGGATGCATATGAACTTTGCTGTCGTGGTTGAACAAGTTACAAGTGTCTGTTTGGCACTCTTTCAGGATATAGTCCCTCTAGAGAACAGTAGACATTGTCTGGACGTGTTTACTCGAGCATGTTAATAATTGGGTCGGGTTCTGGCCTTGCATTAGTTGAGACTATACTCGTCTCCCTTAACAATGGGGATATCACTTGGTTCACACATGCCAAACCACTTAAAAATCTTTTCGATATAACTCTTTTGTGATAATTGAAGAATGTCCTGAGAACGTAAATGTATTATACAAAAGAGGTGTCACAAAACTTTGCACCCCTTGACACGCCTAAGATTTGGTATTTTGGTAAAAGTGAGCCATGGTTCGCTTTACACTCGGAACACCAATGCAAGGCAAGAACCCGATTATCTGAGACGCAAGGTTGCTATACTATTAAACCTCTCCCCTTTGGACATAATAGATCTACACTCCCACTCAGAATGGTTACTGGATAAGGATTGGTTGTTCTATCAACGATTTCAAACATTGCATATGATATGTGAATTGAAATGAAAGAATGGAATTAATAGAACCAACCGAGCATACTTGTGCAAAAAGTTTTACCAAATGCTGTAGACTGCAACAAACCCTGACTTCTGGAAGCTTTCACCTTCGAAAATGGTGTCCTCAATGCCTAAAGCCAAGTGGTGATAGTAGTGCTATCATACAATCGAGCCTCTATGAAAATTTGTCAAGGGTGAATTGGGACCTTCGAGTGGTGAACCAGTCCTATAAATAGGTTGATAGGGCCATCGTGTTTAGACCAGTACTAAAAAATTGGCAGTTGGCAATAAGATTTATCTATAATAGGTTTAATTTGGATCTTCGAAGCTGTACGAAAGCTTCGATTATTCGAGTGGCTGTCTATATTCGTAGGATCTAAAATGGGCACTATTTATCTATCTTCGGAGCCCGAGTCATTCAACTAGGGATCTATCCATAACTTGTTGTCAGTTCCGATTCCAATGAAGAGATCCCATCAAGGACTATTGACTTGGCCTTCAGTATTGACTGACATCTAGTCGAAAAAGGCATATGATTTCAGTTTTACTAAGAAACACTCATCTTTCATTACTTAAGTAGGTACTATGGATTAGTTCATCCCT